CATTATACAAAAATAATATCGTATACAGCTAAGTAACACTAAAGCTGTGAATTCGGTAAGATTTTCCTAGAATTTTGTATCCTGTTTTCCCCCAAAGTGGAGATGAGTTACACGTTCATGAAAAGTTTGGAATGTTTCACTGAAAAAAAAACTCACTCGCCCTCCGATGGTCAAGAAATGTGATACTATTTATGTTCAATAACTTGCATTTATTTCAAGAATATTTATATAACCTTTAATAAACAATCTTTTTAAAAAACATTTTTCTTATTTTTGTCTTTTCTATTCATTTAATATGTCACAAGCCTGCGTGGAAAAAAAAAACAGAAGTCAAGTAATACTTCAGAAACATAGTGAATATTAAGTCAGGCAAGTTTCTTGAAAAGCTATTATAACCATGGTTTAGGATAAGCTTTCCCTGGTGCAAAGCAAAAGATTGTTGTCATCGTATTTCTTCTTGTAGTCATGTTGTAATCTACTTTGAGATGCAGACAAAAGCAATTTCAATAGACGTTTGAGGAAACCTCATATTAAAACTATACTCAGTGCAACGTAATTGCGATGTAGCAATCTAAATAATCCTTTACATTTCATAAATCTTTTTGGTAGAAGTTTCGTTCATCTAAACGCTCAGCTGACCTTCTAGAACCCGACTTGCTTAATGGCGGAGTTCACGGAGACGCCCCGCCATCTTGGACACGCTTCAGATTTTTAAATGCGAATATCTAGTGTGTTTTGATCAATTCTAAAATAAAATATATATTAGTCCTTTCCAGTAGGGTCTCCATTAACATTAAATATATCAAAGAAAAATATTGAAAAACAAAAAAAGTTGAAAAAGTGTACATTTTGAATTCACTTCCTGTAGCGACCGGAAGTACTGACGAGGCAAACGAAGGCAAAATTGCACATCTATAACTCATGGTCTATCATCTCTAACAAGTCTCCAGTTAATATCTTGAGCCGTTTTCGAGAACATTCGAAGACAAAATTGCATTTTAAAATCAGGAAATTGCCCATAACTCAGCACTGGTAGCGAATTTTCCAACAAACGGAATTTTATATAAAATTCATATAGTGACCAATAAATCCTGAAATTTTCAATGAATTCCACCGAATAGTTGACGAGAAATCGCCTGCACATCTCTTTTCCTTGTGGATATATGCTAAATGGAAATATTTAAGGGCATATGCACTCCTACAGGTCCTAATAAAGACAAGATATCTTTGTGAAACACTGATGCCCCCGTATGGCAACATAGCAAAGATTAAACTTTTCTTAAGTGCAGATTTTATCAATTGGTACCAAAAGTATGGTATTCTCACTGGAAAACAATTGTGAAATTTGAAAGTAGGCCACTGTTAAAGTTTTTTCAATAAGTACAAAAATCTCCAAGGCCAAGCTTAAGGACAATCGGTCAAGTTAATTGGTATCCAATGAAATTAAGGTCTTACCACATAGAATACTTATGTAGAGTATGGAAGCCCTAGCACTAAGTGTTCAGAAGTTATAGCCAAGGTTAAAACTTTTTAAAAGTAGGTCAAACTCCGAGGTCAAGGTCAAAGTTCTTGTTATCAAGTGAGAGATCTTGTCACAACGATTATATATGTAAAGTTTGAAAGCACTAGTCTGAACCCTTTAAAAGTTATTTTCAAGGTCTGCTTTTTTAAAGTAGGTCAACCTCAAAGGTCAATATTAAAGGGTCAACGTTCTTGGTATCCAATGAAGGGTCTTAGCACAAGGATTACATATGTGAAGTATGAAAGCCCTATCCCTTACTGTTCAAATGTTATCGCCAAGGTTAATTTTTTTTATAAGTGCAAACATTTACATGGTCAAGGGGTCAAGGTTGTTAGTATTCAATGAAAGGTCTTGAACAACAAAAAATACATATATGTAGAATAAATGTCCTAGTGTCTACTGTTCAAAAGATGTTGCCAAAGTAAAAGTTCAAAATCTTCATGTAAAAATAGGTAAAACTCCAAGGTCAAGGCCAAAATTGGTGGTACCCAAAGAAAGGTCTTGTCACAAGGAATACATATCTGTAATATGAAGTCATGGCTTCACTAAATCAAAAGTTATGGGCAAGGTTAATGTTTTTGGGAACAAATAGACAGACAGAGAGAGAGACAGACAGACGGACGGACACGACAAAAAACTATATATCCCCGAAAGTTCGTTTACAGGGGCATAAAAAATACTTTTACAATTATTTTCTTCGGATGTCATTAATAATAATATTACATATATATATATAACATTCACTTCCTCATTAAATATGACCAATTATTTTGCGTCCATGTGTTCTTTTGCTTTTTGTCGCATGTGGAATTCATTTTTTTCAGTCTATCATAACCGCCCGTTTTTAGTGTGTATCACTCCAACTTGGCGATTACTAGGGAATAAACTCAACGCTCGCAATATTTTCCACATTTTTTAAAGTTCATAAAACATATAACAACAATCTGGAGAATAGGCTACTCTTCACTCTGTACAATATGTATATGGGGAAAATCGCTAGATAATTGATTAAACGGACAGACAGACGAACCTTATGACTATGAGGTGAACGTTACGGCTTTTACGGACACTTCTTAATATACATGCATCTTTTCTCTTACTTTGATTCTAACTTTCTAACTATATTTAATTATGTAAAATTTTATAAAACATTTATATTACTTTGATTGACATGTCCAATTATAGATTAATCAATATGTTCTATCCAATCACTGTCAATCTTTATCACTCAAGAATGACCATCGCTAAAGGTTAACGCTCATTATTTGACCTGCGTTAATCCGCTAATTGTAACCTAACCGTTTTAACTCAATTAGTGTCAACACCTTTTGATCTTGAACTGCATTGTCCATCTGTCCTCACTAATAAGTATTAATTTTGTCTTTAAGCAATATTTAATGGCTTTTTATAAACATTGAGTTACATTTTATCACTTCCGTATCAAGAAGAAATTCATAAGATTGCGTATGTTAAATACATGAATTCATAAACAAGCCGAAAGTATAAAATATATAGGAATGTGCAAAATATACATATATGACACGACCTCTATATAAAATGCAGGGGATGCTGTTCACTGTATTTATAAATTAACACGTACATTGAAAACACGTATGAATCAACCCATTCCACCCCGTATTCATCGTAAGACACGTTTTTATAAAGAAAATCTGTTCTTGTATGACGAAGGACAAATGGTAAATTTAGTAACCTTCGACATACTTATAACTTTCTTTTATCAAATTTTCCAATATTTATATATTTTCATTTTACTTTAATTTTATTGTTTATTCGTTTATTTTAATTTTAAATTCATGTTTATATAATTGAGCAAATATGTATGATATTGAAGCCATGCCCCCACTGTCCTTCACCCACCCGCTCCCCTTTCACCAAAAAAAAAAAATAAAATAAAATAAAGGTCTCATATTAATTGGTCTCTGAAAATAAAGTTTTGGATCCTTCCCTCAGCACTACCGACATCGTTTGTCTCGTATCACTCACATGGTTAATGTGACGATCAGCGTTAATTGCTCTCATTATTTCACGTAATCTAATTACGGGAGAAAATCCAGATATTTTCCTTTGAATGAAAAAGGATGGGTGAGTGTTTGGGGGGGGGGGGGGGGGCTGTCAATTAATCAACTTTTTAAAAATCTTTCCATGCAAACAGATATCTATAAATACTTATAAGCTTATAGGCCCTGATTCATTTTTTGGAGTCATATTTAAATAGTTATTTGCACAGTAACTACTTAGAATTTCCTAAATAAAAGGATTTTTTCAATTCGAAATATTTAACGTACGAGTTGCAAAACTCCGATGACAATGGTACGTCCATCTACCCAAAAGGAACCCTTACGGGCAAATATATAACTTTAAAAATGTTTTCTATCACTAAACACTTGAAAGAAATAAGAAATTTATTTTTTTTAAATGTTAAATTAGACTCAGTGATATACTTATAAAATCTTGAGTTTTTGTAAAACTTTAACGATCTCAATATTTGTATAGTTTGCATTTAAAATGAACTTTTTAAAATATAGAGTGATGTATAGTGAATATCTTAAAGTGCTTGAAAAGTGACTGACAACATTTAAATTTCATTTTGGTCGTACAAGTAGAGTAGAAAAAGTTTATGGACCATTACTGTTTATCTAAGTCCCCTTTTTACCTCTTTTCGGGTAATTTAATAGATATGGCAAGAAATTAGTCCTGACTTTCAACTATGTTCATTTGTAACCCTGTTACAGAACTAATTATTTCGGTAACAAAGGTTACATTAATCTAATATTTTAACACAGCAGATGAAAACCAAGCAGGGGGTCTGTTTTTCTATGGTTACAAGGGTTACAACTATATTTCTTTGGTGACAAAGGTTACAGAGCAGATAAAAGCCTGGCAGGGGGTCTGTTTTCTGTGGTTACATGGGTTACAACTATATTTCTTTGGTGACATATTGGTCACAGAGCATTTAAAAGTCTAGCAGGGGGTCTGTTTTTCTATGGTTACATGGGTTACAACTATATTTCTTTGGTGACAAAGGTTACACAGCATTTAAAAGTCTGGCAGGGGGTCTGTTTTTCTATGGTTACATGGGTTACAACTATATTTCTTTGGTGACAAAGGTTACAGAGCAGATAAAAGCCTGGCAGGGGGTCTGTTTTTCTGTGGTTACATGGGTTACAACTATATTTCTTTGGTGACAAAGGTTACAGAGCAGATAAAAGCCTGGCAGGGGGTCTGTTTTTCTGTGGTTACATGGGTTACAACTATATTTCTTTGGTGACAAAGGTTACAGAGCAGAAAAAAGCCTGGCAGGGGGTCTGTTTTTCTGTGGTTACATGGGTTACAACTATATTTCTTTGGTGACATTGGTCACAGAGCATTTAAAAGTCTAGCAGGGGGTCTGTTTTCTGTGGTTACATGGGTTACAACTATATTTCTTTGGTGACATTGGTCACAGAGCAGCATTTAAAAGTCTAGCAGGGGGTCTGTTTTCTGTGGTTACATGGGTTACAACTATATTTCTTTGGTGACAAAGGTTACAGAGCATTTTAAAGTCTGGCAGGGGGTCTGTTTTTCTGTGGTTACATGGGTTACAACTATATTTCTTTGGTGACAAAGGTTACAGAGCAGATAAAAGCCTGGCAGGGGGTCTGTTTTTCTGTGGTTACATGGGTTACAACTATATTTCTTTGGTGACAAAGGTTACAGAGCAGATAAAAGCCTGGCAGGGGGTCTGTTTTTCTGTGGTTACATGGGTTACAACTATATTTCTTTGGTGACAAAGGTTACAGAGCAGATAAAAGCCTGGCAGGGGGTCTGTGTTTCTGTGGTTACATGGGTTACAACTATATTTCTTTGGTGACAAAGGTTACAGAGCAGATAAAAGCCTGGCAGGGGGTCTGTTTTTCTGTGGTTACATGGGTTACAACTATATTTCTTTGGTGACATTGGTCACAGAGCATTTAAAAGTCTAGCAGGGGGTCTGTTTTCTGTGGTTACATGGGTTACAACTATATTTCTTTGGTGACATTGGTCACAGAGCAGCATTTAAAAGTCTAGCAGGGGGTCTGTTTTCTGTGGTTACATGGGTTACAACTATATTTCTTTGGTGACAAAGGTTACAGAGCAGATAAAGTATGGCAGGGGGTCTGTTTTACTGTGGTTACATGGGTTACAACTATATTTTTGGTGACATTGGTCACAGAGCATTTAAAAGTCTGGCAGGGGGTCTGTTTTTCTGTGGTTACATGGGTTACAACTATATTTCTTTGGTGACAAAGGTCACAGAACATTTTAAAGTCTGGAAGGGGGTCTGTTTCCTGTGGTTACATGGGTTACAACTATATTTCTTTGTTAATGGTTTTTGATATTGTTGAAATAATTTCTGTCCACTATACTAAGGCCATTTTTAAATACAAAACTAACAACTATATCTGAATATTATTTATTATATTGAAGAAATAATAAATTAATATAACATTTACATAACAAAACACATATAACATTATGCTGCATGGTTGAGTGTTCCTCTAGGAGATGATTCGACATGGCGGACACAACCACTCCTTGTCCCCAAGGACCTTGAACTGTTTCAAGGTCATACAGCACTTCTGGTGGTGCCAAACATCACACCCATCACAGCACACCCAGTTCATCCCTCCTCTCCCAACTTTGTTGCATGTTCCACATGTTATCTGTAATGAATATATACATTACATAAAAATGAGTGAGAAAAAGCAGACTAGACATTCCTTTCCAGCAAAGATAAACATTATGTAGAAATATAGAAATTGTCAAATGTTTTGTTCTAAATAAAGATATCAGTTTTACTTGGACTGTCGAATAGTCGTCTGCTTTAGTCGAATGATAGTCGAATATTCACTTTTTTCATATCATTTTCACTGTTTCTCTTTTACAAACTAGTTTACGATATCTAACCTATGCTATCACCAGTATAAAATGAATGATTGTATAAAATTAATATCAGAAAAAGAAAATACAGTTTATTTACTATCATAACTGACCCCAATTTACATGTATTTTCATTTTTGGAATTTTTAATATTCATTAATATTACTTCTAGGTTGATATAAAAACTTAAATGATAAAAATTTTTACATTGAATTTAACAATAAATTTATGAATTCTGCGAACAAACTAAATCGTGAAATACTAAAAAATACTTAATGGTATATATGTTAAATCTTCATCACCTAAAATCAGTGCTTACTAAGGCAAAATGGGAATGCTACATTTTACAGTTAAAGCGAAATGGGAAGAAACTTTTTGTAATAGCTGTTTAATTAATATTCTTTCTGAATAGTTGTATCACCTCAGATCTTAGTTTGAATCTTCCATTCAAAACAGGAAGAGGTAGACAATCATAATAAACATGTTTGATTTTATTTCCCAATCTGTTTTTTTTTTAACAGTTATACCATACCCTTAATTTTACATATGAAAATATGGATCAGTAAATAAATGAAATGGGCAAATCTAAGTTTATTACCTTATATTCAAAATTACTTTGATGAAACACATTTTTAATGTATAACCAACTAAAGAAATTTTAGTCGATAGTCGGTATGATCAAACAATAGTCTAGTACTTGAATATCCATTGACATCCCTAGTTCTAAATAATTCTTAAGTATAGATAACATAATAGTTTTTTCAATGTTGAAATGAACATTACCTTGCTTTGTGCCCTTTTTGGCATTGGAAAAGGAGCAGGAGTTCTGGGTGTGCTGTTGTTGTTCCTGGTTCTGAGGCGCTTGGATGGTGGTGCACATATTTCTGAGTCTGTTGTCATTGGTGACTTCCTCTGGGACACTGGTGACGAGGATGGCTCTTGATGCACGTGCACCTCAGTCAAGGGCTTGGCAGTAGTAGTGGTCACTGGTGACTTCCTCTGGGACACTGGTGACAAGGATGGCTCTTGATGCACGTGCACCTCCGTCAAGGAACTGGCAGTAGTGGTGGTCACTGGTGACTTCCTCTGGGACACTGGTGACGAGGATGGCTCTTGATGCACGTGCACCTCCGTCAAGGAACTGGCAGTAGTGGTGGTCACTGGTGACTTCCTCTGGGACACTGGTGAAGAGGATGGCTCTTGATGCACGTGCACCTCCGTCAAGGAACTGGCAGTAGTGGTGGTCACTGGTGACTTCCTCTGGGACACTGGTGACGAGGATGGCTCTTGATGCACGGGCCCCTCAGTCAAGGAACTGGCAGTAGTGGTGGTCACTGGTGACTTCCTCTGGGACACTGGTGACCTTTCTGCACTAATAAAATGTTATTTTTCTGGCATTGAAAATGTAATAAGGAAGAAAATTATGTTAAAGTCTTAAACTTTTTCTGATTTTAAGCAAGTAGGTCAAAGTTATCTTGAATATTTAGAAAAGAACATCAAAAGTGGGGGTATATGATGTACATTTTCAGATATTACTAAAAAAGTGTGAATTTTACGTTAAAGATGGCTCAATTTAATCCCAGACTTTCAGAATATATTTACTATATTTGTCACACTTTGTTGATAGAAATCATAAGAAATAATTTAATTGATATTTGAGAACCAGCATAGCATATTTCACTGCAAAAACAGCCTTGTGTGCAACCAACATGGAAAAATAGGCATTCAAAATTAACAGTGCTGTTATTGTTCAAATGGAAAAAACTTATCATTTTCATCTAAAAATCCTTCCGCCACAAAATATAGTTCCTAGCTTAATTCTACACGAATGTAATTAAATCACGTTTTTTTATTGAATATAGTTTAATTTGCATTGTAGAATTCAGTTTTATTGTTAGAACCTAAAAATGATGCTTAATTTTATGAATAAAGCACCTGTGCGAAATACGCTCAAAATATCAGGATCGAACGTCCTTAAGGACAAGATCTAGTAAATGGAAGGTACCAACAGATTTATTAAATTTGAAAAATAAACTCCTTAAATAATGCTTAACAACCTTAGCTTGGTCAAATAAGGTGTTTCCTGGCATAATTTGTTAAGGTAAACAAAATGAAAAACGGTAATTTGTATGCTCTTTCCCTCTCCTTTCAATCAATATCAAATTTAATATAGGTACCCAGTTTACTTTTCATATGATTTCAAATTGAATGTCGTGAAAATACCCATTTTCTACATAATTCTGCTAGAGCCTTAAAGTACAGGAAAGGAAATTTTGACGTTATATGATGAATCAAGCACCAAAAAAAAAGAGTCTAATATTATTCACCAAATTACCAAATCTTGAGAGACAGGACACATGTCACATGACTGCATAAGTCACTCTTAATGGAGGTGCTTAGCACTGTTAAAACCATAATTATTAATTTATTTCTTCATTTTTATTGTACTTGTTAAGCAAAACATTTTATGTAAGATAATGGAGAGTTTGAGAGTTTTAAACAGTCTTGTAATTAATTTAAAAAATGCTAAAGTGATTTATATCCCTCTGTTTCTTTTGGCAACAGTCTAGCTAGTACTTCAGTGTCATAAATGATCTCTCAGTGCAGGAAACACAAAATCCATGTCCGAGGGAGACAGTCTTTAAGTCAGACTGGTTTTGCTTCAAGCACTTTATTTAATTATATCGCTCGGCTTTTTACTGAGCATGTTCAATCATTAAACTTACTTTATTTGAATATTGAATTAAAGGGATTCTTGGTCGGGAGCTAAAAGAATGTGTCTTTTTTACTCTAGTTAAAGGAACCTGGATATTAAAAATAGATGTCAGTTGGATTATTGTATTTATGTTAGTCTTGGAGGATTTCCTCACTCTAAACTAAATGCAGTAAGTCCAATAGTGAATAAATAAGTCCTTTTCCAATTTTCATGATCTTTCTATATTTGCAATATGGAAAATGTACATGATGTAAAACTGCACATGTGTCTGTTTATTTGAATGACAGTTGAATTTCCATTAATTAATCCCTCAGTTGGATTTTCACTAATTAATCCCTATTTTATGTGTCTTCAATGTGCTACAAAAAGTTTTATTTAAGTCTATAAATTTAAATTAAATTTTTTCTCAGATTGTATAAACTTAGATAAAATTATAATTCCCAGAATTGTACATTATCATCATATTCTTTTAAATTTAAATCTAGAAAGGAGATGTATAAGTATTAAGTAATTTTAAATTAATAATTAACAGAAAGAATATATATCATATGGACACATTAATAATAAGATTTCCAACCTTTAACATGTTTAAGGTCATAAGCAACGTAGTTTGAACTTTGTTAGTTTCTTCCCTGGAATTGAAGAGTTTTACTAAATGAAGAACATTTGTGAAATATTTCTAATGTCTGTATATCTTTGATGAAAGAAATCTGAAATTTATGTTTTATAATTTTAGTTTATTTAATTGAATTAAATCCAAAACTTTTCAAAATTCCATATCTTTTCAAAACCCCTGGTAATGCATGCTGATTTTTTTTTGTCAAAAAACTTGTAATGATATTATATAAGTTGAAAAATTCTAAAGCTTAGCATAATAATACTGTAAAGCATTGTGAAGTTTGGTTTCAGTCACCATTTTGGAATCCACAGTTACATCAGGAGGTCTTGACCTAGATCTAGACACCTTATATGGTTTGTCACACAGCTTTTTTAACAATGGTTTCCAAAAATCTGTGTCTCCACATACGGAAAAAGGCACAGGATTTGGACACTAGTTTACAGAATCCGCCAGTACATATACATGTATCATCATATGGAAACTAGAACCGCTTTCTGACACGGGTTCATCTTAAAACCGGAAGTACGAGTTCGTTAATTTGAAATCTCGACCCCGACTCAAATTTGATATTGTAAAGAAAAAAACAATCTGTTTTCTCAACCTCAAAAACTTGATGTCACAATTAGTATTTAGGAAATGATTTATGCATTATCTAACTGCGTGGAATTTCAATGGTTCAGAAAGAATAATTTTTTTTATTTCTTCAATTTGACAAAAACCACACGCGGTTCGAGTACTATTATGTTACATACAGTAAACAAATATAATGTAACTATATATTAGCATAGATTTTCTTATATTACAGGCATCACATATGAAGGAACAATATATGATAAGTGTCTCAAATAGCCCCTTAAAATTAATATCTTAATTTTACTTTATAAAAAGCTTTAATTTGTATATACAGCTATATTAATGAACCATTATTGGTTATTTTCAATTTGATCATAATACAGTTAATTCAGAAATATGACATCAAAAATTTTATGTTCTCCTGACATTTTATCATATTTTGTATAAAACTGCTCATTTTCGGGCATTTAATTCTTCTTCCAGAAAATGTTGAGCGGGGACTAGAACATACTTTATCTTTTTACTAAAGATGTATTTATCCAATACTTATAAGCTACATAAAAATTATCCATGTTCTACATTATCAGCGCTCTGTTTCCCATAAGAAATAAAAATTACAAACAAGCAAATTCAAAGAATTGTGGTCCCCCGCTTTCGGTATCTTTGTGGGCAAGATATCATTTTTGGGCTCAAGGTCAATAGGTCAAAGTTTTTGGTATCCCATGAAAGGTGATGTCTCAAAGAATACATGTGTGAAATATAAACGTCCTTGTATCTACCGTTCAAAAGTTGTGACCAAGGTTATAATTTTTAAAAAGAAGTTAAAACTCCAAGGTCAAGGTCAAAAGGTCAAAGTTCTTGGTACCCAATGAAAGGTCTTTTTTACAAGAATAAAATATGTGTAGTATAAAAGCCGTAGCCCTTACTGTTCAAAAATTATGGTCAAGGATATAGTTATTTCATAAGTACGTACATTTCCAAGGTCAAGGTCTAAAGGTCAAAGTTGTTAGTATTCATTGAAAGGTCTTGTCACAAAGAATAAATATGTGATATATGGAAGTCCTAGTACCTACCATTCAAAAGTTATGGCCAAAGTAAAAGTTTGGAATTTTTTAGTAAAAGTAGTTGAAACTCCAAGGTCAAAAGGTCAAATTTGGTGGTACCCAAAGAAAGGTCTTATCACAAAGAATACACATATGAAATATGAAAATTATACTCCACCAAATCAAAAGTTATGGGCAAGGTTAATGTTTTTGTGACGGACTGACAGACTGACGGACCGACGGCAGATGGACAGACGGACAGACTGACGGACAGACGAATGAGATTTAATGTCCCATTGCTTTCGCAAAAGCGGGGGACAAAAATATATTGAGTAATATCTAATATGAATTATGATCTTTCCTACAAAATAAATATCAATTAAACATATCTGAATACTATTCTAGAATGCTTATTTTTAGGCCTAACAAATATTTAATGTAGGTTTAACATCTGCTGGATTAAGAATTTCATAAGATGTGCATGTGTTATTAAAAAGTGTACAAATTTTAATTTCTTATATTACTTTCATATAATATTAGAAAAATACAGGGCAAAAACTTGTATTAAAACTCAGTACCTTGTTTTATAATTCCCTAGAAACTAATCACCATCAATGCATTGTGATGTATGTTTTGAAGCTGGAATTATTACATGTATTACAATGATAACTTTTATGGAAGATAGTAGCATTATAAGATTCTCTTAACTTATATTTCATTTCCCTTCTTTTAAATTTCATGTTACGTACATCAAAGTTGTTATCCCTCACAAAATGCAAAACATGAAGTGTATTTAATGACTATTCGCTTAGATGTGGGGCTCAAGTGAGCTTTACTGATCACATTTTGTCCGTCTGTCTATAAGCTGTCTGTCCGTCTGTAAACTTTTCACATTTTCGACTTCTTCTCGAGAACCACTGGGACAATTTTGACCAAAGTTGGTACAAGCATCCTTGGGTGATGGAAATTTAAATTGTGACAATGAAGGGTCAAATTCCCACAAAGGGGAGATAATCAAGAAAGGACAAAAATAGGGTTGGGTCATTAAAAAATCTTCTTCTCAAGAACATCTAGGCCAGAAAAGCTGAAACTTATGTGAAAGCATCCAGGGTGGTGCAGATTCTAAATTGTTCAAATCAAGACCCCAGGGGATAGGGTGGTGCCACAATGGGGAATCAAAGTTTTACCTTGAAATTTATAGGAAAATCGTTAAAAATCTTCTTCTCAAGAACCACTGGGCCAGAAAAGCTGAAACTAACACGAAAGTATCCTGGGGTGGTGCAGATTCTAAATTGTTAAAATCATGACCCCCAGTGATAGGAGGGGGACACAATGTGGAATCAGAGTTTTACCTAGAATATATAGGCAAATCTTTTAAAAGTCTTCCCAAGAACCACTGGGATAATTTTGAACAAAGTTGGTACAAATTAGCATCCTTGGTTGGGTGAAGGAAAATTTAGTTGTGAAAATGAAAGGCCAAATCCCCTCACAAGGAGAGATAATCAAGAAAAGACAAAAAAAGGGTGGGTCATTAAAAAACCTTCTCCTCAAGAACCACTGAGCCACAAAAGCTGAAACTTATGTGGAAGCATCCCGGGGTAGTATAGATTCTAAATAATTTTAATCATGACCAAAGGGGTAGGACAGGGCCACAATGGAGAATCAAAGTTTTACAATCATGTTGAATCAAAGCATCCTATGGTAGTATAGATTTCAAATCGTTTACATTATTATAAGTGGGGTAAGGTGGGGTCACAATATGTATTACAAGGGGGAAATCTGGTAAAGAACAAAATGTTCAAAGCTTCTCAGGAGGAGAAGTGTGGCCCATGGGCCTCTTTTTTTTTTTTTTTTTTTTTTTTTTTACAATTTTTCACACCTCACAGGCCAGTACCCTGGTATAAATTTGTCTCCTTATAAGAACATACAAATTCTAATTTACTCCTCAGATTAATGAACTGCATTCACTTAATCCATAAAGATGATAATACTATGCCAGAAATAACTTAGATGCAACATCAATTACAAGTGTCAAGTATTAAATCATGTGCTTTTTAATAAGAGTAATAAATTACTGGCACTTTTAAATTAGTTTATTAAAAAAAAAACTGAAAATGTGAATTTTTAGAAACAATTGATCGAATTAATTCTGAAATTCTTGCAGTCTGCTAGAATTCCTAAATATAACAGATTTCCCACAAATCAAAGGACAAGAGATATACACAATTAAGAAATGTTTTCACACCTTTTTACAGGTAAACAATACCTTGATATTTTCAAAATATCAGATTATTACACAATATATAGGAAAATCCTTTGAAGTTTCCAAACATACACGGGGTAAATAATTATAGTCAGGTTAATTCTAACTTCAAAGAAGGATGATGGTATTGAATAGTACACAGATTTAAGATGAAATTAACACACCTGTTGATCTGTTTAATTTCTGAAGTATTGAAATGAT